TGTGCATTTGACCTTTTACTTGTAAACGAACTCTTTGATGGCTTTTAGAGAAGGGCCACACCGCAATACCCTTAATGTGTTTCTTCAAAAATGTATATCGGTACTTAATTCTCTTTTACGACAGGAGTCGAAAGAAGTGATTCTTTATTATCATGAACGATTAGACAAATTTTCCTATATGGAATGCATGCAAAAGCATAAAAGAGATTAATATGACAATTTCGCTACACCCTTCTACACTTTGTAAGATCAATATCCAGTTGCATTTAGCGAAGAAAAGTTTGCTAAGCATAAATAATCTCTCTTTTATTGTCAGCCTTAAGTAGAAGTAGTAGAAATTGTTGTACTTTGCTTATTGTATTACCCCAATAATGCATGAGGGGGGATTACACACAATGAGCGGAAGTTTTAATTTTTATATCTTCAATTAGCGAAAATAAAAAAAGGGTTAAGTCGTATGATAGCTTATTTCCATTCATTGCCGAGGTTTCTTTTTTCTTTTTGTGTCTCCGGCATGTTTTGTGTGGCAAAAGGTCTTGGTTGAAAAAGAAACAGCATTTCCGATCCACTATTGAGTACGAGATAATTAGTTTCGTTGTCAAGACACCACTGTGTCCGGTCTATGGTTCTGACTTAACGATAATGGTGGGATCTTGTAGAAAAAAGAATTTCTGGATTTGGGTGGGATTGTTATAATCTGTGTTTGATAGATTCTTTAGAGGCAGTAATGAAGATATCTAAGACAGAGGTTCTAAAAAATATCTTTACCCATATTCAAAACTCACGTCAATTGGATTATGAAAAATATTATTGCTAGTATTTAGCATAAATTTTGTACTTTCTTTTCCTTATAAGTTAAGGTAAGGAACAAACAAAAATTGCTACTCGAGTTCATCTTATAATCGGATCAATTAAGAAAGGTTCAATGAACGCCTCTCTTTATGTGTTTTTCCCTTCGTTTTTACTTCACAATTTATTCATTGTATAACTCGAGAAATTCTATTCAAATATCATTTTACATGGGGAATTAAAATCAGTCCATGTGCAATATTAAGGCCACATTAGGATGCAGGGTTATATAACAATTCCAACATTCTTGGTATGGAAGTACTTTGTCGCGTTGAAATAGAGAGAATCATGTGTACTTAATCTGCTATGCCTTCGGCTTCGAATGAAAATCAGTCTCTAGAAATCACCCCAGGAAAACTCTAGAGAACCTCGGAAATCCATTTCCGCTTGCAGAGTAAACAAGTTTCTGAAATAATTTTCAGAGTGCTCCTACGATTTTTCTAATGCTATGAAAATATAATTCATACATTTGTTAGCAAAACGATAATGTACATAACTGTCCTCTATTTGCAAAATAGGATTTTTTCCCAAAGAATTAATTAATAAACCAAACCTATTAACTAATTCAACGACATACTAAAAGTATGAGGGCATATTGCTTATCTTTTACTTGATCTAGAAGTATCAACATTATACCCAGAACAAGCGTCACCCAAAAGAGCAATCAGCATTAAAACTACCTTCGAACCTGAAGCGACAAGCATGCGAAGTTCTACAAGCAATCATAAAGAACTATCTTACGATTCTCGTGAGATTTGAGCGATGATCTTTTAAGTAACCCCTCGCCCTGGTCGTTTTAATTGTCATAGTTTCTCTCATTGATCTGATGTCCCCTGTGGTTCCCTGGTCACCATTCATCTGCCGGAATTTTGCCTTCCGCAAGCAGTTGTATCGTTCATCGTTCCCAATGCGGTTATAGGGCGTTTTATTTGTCATTAGTTTACTCATTAATTTAAAATTGTTTAAATTGCGGCTCATCCTTTACGTTATTTTAATTGTTCAGTCTATATATTATAAAGGGGCGTTATTTTTAATCACACATTCATTATTCTTAGAAGGTACTCACAAGTAAACAGGGATGACGATGAATTACATTCAGTAATACTAGTGTTCTCTACAAAAAATTGGATTTTTCAATTTAAATCTGTACAATTGTTATATACAAATTAAAATTAAAAATTTATTTCAACTTTTCAATTTAAATTTGCAAATGACGATTGTCATTAATAAATTTAAATTGAAAAATTCAAATTTTTGTAGAGGACACTATATACTTACGGTGCTTTCTATACTCATATCATGCGAGTACAAACCTGGCCCTGGGATCATTAAACAAAATTAAATCTTCATGTTTACTTAAATCTTGTCAAGCAGATCAAAATTAACATATGTTTCAATTCTGATTCTTATTTGCAACTTTTGAGATAAATATTTTACAGGCGACTGAAATTTTGACAGAAGTCTAGTGTGATCCTGGGGCCAGGCCTCTGGGTATTTTTATAGTAAAAAATGAGTTTTAATAATGTTAATAGTTACAAGCAAATCGGTGAATTTCAATGCAGGATATTTTGTCTACACGAACGAACATGAAAACACGCATTGTTTTAACACTTCGATCTGCTTGATATCTCAAAGGATAAAGAAATTTGGATTATTTTAAATCAGGTTAGGACAAAACTTTTCAACTCAATATTTTCCCGCGCACTTTATTGTGCCATAGGGATATGGGTTGAAGAAATTCCAAGCGACTTTAACACTTACTTTTAGAATAATCTTTCACGATCAGGCGAACACTTTAAAATTTTAATGCTACTTGCTGAAGTTTGAATTCAGTCTAAATCCTCGGTGTGATATTAAAGTTAGGGAAGTAGTCTAAGAGAAATAAAGCTGAACATTCAAATTGTTAATAAAAGAAATCGGTTTCTTAAAATATGGCATTTTTGTATCTTTGTTTTTTTTTTTGTGTGTGTGTGTGCTTAATATTTTTTTCATATTGTTTTGATTTTGCCCTTTATTTCTTTGTTTGTCAGACCATTCTTCTATCCCCTTCGTTAAATTATTAGGCCTTAGTCACAGCCTCAGCTTAAAAACAAACAGAATACCGACTTCCTAATGGCATATATAATTTTTTTAGGTCACATTCGCAGCGCTTTTAAGATTCGAGAACTTTACAAATATAATAGTTCATTCGAGATTTCTTTTGATCACATATAACGAAACGTTTCAATGATATTGATACATTAGCACATAACGACACAAATGTTTCAAATGTCACCTTTAAAAATCCATCAAAGACACACTTAACTCGAAATCCCTCTGTATTCTACCAATTCACTATTCTCAAAGCCATTGAGAGGACCAATGTAAACAAATTATGTTTATTGAATTAATGACATCCCCTGGATATTCTATTATTTGATACATGTGAGTAACACTCTACAAAGCGATTTATTTCCAGTTCTATGACTTTGCATGCAGCATGATTTCTTGCAGTGTGTGAACTGTGGAAGTGAAATGATTGTTTATTATATCCCTGCGCTAGAAAAACTGGAGGGTACATGTATATAGTAATCGGGATGTCCGTCTGTCTGTTACGCTTTGAGATACCCATCTCTTATCCGCAACTCCTCTCATACCACTGCTTGTTAAATGAGACTTTCACAGAATATTCGTTACATAGTGCCATATTGCACCTCTTTTACATTTTGATCCAACACATATATATTCCCATAGCACTGCCATTCTTTCTATAATATTGAATGGTGCCCATCTCTTATCCGCAACTCCTCCTATACCACTGAATAAAATTAAATGATACTATCATAGATTCTTTATAACATGATGCCATTGAGCACCTTGTATTTTATGTTTTGATTTGACACTAATTTTGGGTTTCCCAGAGCAAAACATGGACTTTGCCATTAAAATCATATGAGAGGCGGGGGTATCATTTATTGAGCTCAGTGCTCACGGTACTTCCCTGGGAAAACAATGATATACTGTATAAACCAAGAAATACATGAACTATTTTGACCAAGAACTTAAAATATTCACTATAAAGTCTTTTACGTAGATAGCATGCAAAGACAGTTACATTTGTAGATGTTGAAAATTGTGGGATTGCATTATTTTGCGATTAATACAAAAATAACAACACTTAATGTATAAATTATACATTCACAAGTAGAATAGAAGGTACACAATGACACTATTTAATAAAGATTCTGCAAAAATCTCACAATTTATCAATGGTATAGAAGGAATTGCGGGGAAAAAAGATTGAAATCCCCAACCGTGACAGACGGACGGACACATGGAAGGACATCCGTATCACTAAATACCCATCCCCCATTTTTAAGCGGGAAGGGGGTTATAAAAATGAAACCAAAATTAGTGTATCAGAAGAGGCAAAGAAAACTATAATAAATGAAACAGACATGTACATTAAAAACTTTTTAAATGGTGTGATTTCATTTCTGTGAGGCCATGGTGGAGAAGAGATAAAGTATAAAGATAAATAGTTTTCCTAGGAATATTAAGAGAAATACGAAGATAACGAACGGTTACCAAGCTAAAAAGTCCATAGTAACAATACAAATTGGGACCAGAGTAAACACACACCTCTAAAACATGGCAGATCGATACCATGGGGGAGTAAGAATCCCCTGCCTATTGGTCTTTAAGAATATTTTTCTATGGAACATTGGTACGCAATATTAGTAAGTCACTTGAATATTAAATCGTCATAATGTAAAATTGTTCTTTTATTCAACTTTGTACGTCCCTTTTAGTTTGGTAAGGTCTTTAATAGGGTTCAAAGTTTTACTGAAGAATGTATGCTATGAAATAAATAAACGTTGAAAACAAATTTTCCTATCCTAATCAAAAACACCAAAAAATAAAAATAAAAAATATATAGGGTTCAACATGTGGCCACATGTACTAGGATAAGACACAATGGGTTGTCAAAATTCAATTACGAAGCTATTTAAAAAATACATGTATGAAAGAAATATTAAACTTAAGTTGCAATCAATCGCCTACAGAGTGAGTTTGGATTTATCTAGGAATACCGTGGAGTGCATCTTAACTGAACTTTAAGGGATTCTTTATTTTATCACAACTCTCATTATGACTATTATTTTTGACAGGGTACAAGAAATGAAGTTAACTTTTGGGACGATACTTACCTTACTTTGGGCGTTTTCTTCTGCCAGGGTGAACGCAGATGGTGAGTTAAAAGGTTTCACATACATCATTGCTTGAATACTAAATTTCCTTAAAATGTCATTGCGTGGGTAGGCAAAGGATTTCGTTAAATACGCGCATACATGTAAGTTACAAAAAAGCCAAGCCGGTTCTCGAAAAAATGGCTTATGAAGTAGTGAGTTAAAGTCATGATCTTCAAAAAAGGAGCAGCAGCCTAGATAATATCAATTGATGCTTCACTACGAAATCGGTGCTTTCTGGGCCCTGATGTTGGACATATTGTATAAGATACGTTTATCAAAATACCCTCTTCCTTCTAAAAGCTGACAAACACCTATCCAGCAGAAGTATTCTTGAACAGTTCCTGGTTTTGCATTCCTTCATTAGATATGAAAGACAAATCGAAACAAAGAAAAGAATACAGACTGGTTGAAATATATATGCAAGCAATAAAGATCTTTGTGTAACATGATAATATAGAGAAAAAACTTTTAAAAATTAAAAAAACAACCTTGAATTGTTAAATTCAGTGTTACATTTATTGCCACTTTCTTTTGCTCGTAAATTGATTTTCAAAGTTGAAAAATCTTGGGGAAAAAATGTTTGTATCGTATAGAAATTAGATCGCCAAAAAATCATCTCTCATTCATTAAACAGAATTTAAACCAATTGATTAAATAAATAACTTTAATTTTTAACATAAATAAACGAAGATTATATACTGTTATTATTTCAAAGAGGAAGTGACCTTAGATGTGGTCTGAATTTGGAACACAAGACAATATAGTTATTAAAGTCTCCTACTTTCCCCGTAAATGAATCGACTTCTCTTTGTACAAAAGAGGACTGACAGTTTAGACTAGACTGTAACTTTTAACAAAACTCGTCAAATTCTAAGTTTGGCGTAAAAACAGATGTTGAACAGGTAGAATGATAAAAAAAATTAATGGTGTGTTTTGAAGTTTTCTTTTCTATATTGTCATATTAATAATTTAGAATCTGTGCAAAAACATAACATATGTTCAAGTCAAAGACTATATTAATATTTTGTTTTAAAGCAATATTATGTTTTATTTCTTTTTTGCAACGCAGAAGAGCAGACAAAAGCAACAGACACTACGGAAGACAGAGTTAAGCGGTCGCCTTATGTTCCCAAATTCATCGGCAAACGCGATGACGAAAGCGAAGACGCATTGCAAACATTGGAGGCTGCTATTCGGAAAGAACTTCTGAAGCAAGAGCCTTATGACATTTATCCACTTGACAGCAATGGCGCTTTTGAGCGAGATACTCGCTTAAACAGACAATTATTTGTTGGCAAGCGCGATAGTAACCCGCTCGGGAAAAGAGAAAACTATATACCCCAGATGGGATTCAAAAGATCAACACTTTTGATACCCGAATCCGATGAAATTCAGGACCTTGGTGCAAATAAACGAGCAGTGCACCCATTATTTGTCGGCAAGCGCAGAGCACCTTATTTCATAGGAAAACGCCGCATGCATCTCGTCGTTGGTAGGGGAGGAAACATGAATGCTCCAAAACTTGTCGGCAAAAGAGGAACTCCTTTGCTTGTGGGCCGACGGAGGGTGGACAATGAAGACAAGCCTATTTATTATAGCTATATAGCACTACGCAGGTCAGTGCCAGACGAGCAGCGCTTGCGCAGTAGCATCGCAGATTCATTGCTCCATAGTTTAAATCCATATTCTGTAAATGATTTAGGGAGTGGGAATAGACCAAAACATTTCCTTGAGGAAAATGATCTGTTAAGGTCTTCCAATATTAAATCAAAGCGTTTTGAAACCCCTGTGTTTATTGGGAAAAGAAATAGTAATATAGACTTGGCAAGCGCCAAGCATGCGCATAATCATATTCTTCGAAAGCGTTTCCAGCCACCCATGTTTGTAGGTAGGCGAAGCGAACTGAAAAAGCATCTTCAAAAAGCTCATATTCATCACCAGGCGGCCTTGCCGTAAGTCGAGATTTTGTGGGTAGATAATCTTTTTAATGCAAGGTTTTCCGCGCAAACATCCCTTTCGGCTCCCTTGCATTCTATTCCCTGGCTGTCTTCTTCGCAAACTGATCTACGGTTTTATCTTTAAAATTGAGAAAGTTTGATATTACACGACGTTGCGAACTGACACAGTTCCAGCTACCAAGTACTGGAATATCATTGTTTATTTTATATCTGTTTAAAGCATTTTCATTAATCATTATCATTTCTATAATATGTCAATCTTACCAAAATTTCAAAACACTGTATTTCCTTTTAATCACCCTTAAACAAAGCAAGATTATTTATTTAATTATATTTTTCTTCAAGAGAAAACAGTAGATTCGTAGTTTGTGAAGAAGCCCTATAGCTGCTGATTGTTTGGAGCGCATGCGTAGATAAAAGTGATCGCTATGAGAATCAATAGATTAAAATTTCATCTATTGATTACATTAATGTGATGATCATAATCTACAAGCATGGACAACCTTCATATTTTGATATTGCTTTCTTTGCTTGAAAACCATTAATGTTTAAGTAGAAAGAGCATAAGCAGTCCATAGTGGCGATATTTTGATTTGAGATTTTATTCATATATCTCTAGCTCTATGAACTGCGATGTTCTGGTGTTGATGCATGGCAATTTTGTTATATATTTGTAAGTGTAAAAAGCATGATATGATGGTTTCAATTATTTTGTGTTCGTAGGGGTCATATTCTGAGTTTTCTATCCTAAAAGTATTAAGATTCGAAATGAAAAACACAACTTAAGGCAATATATATATTAACAAAAGTACAAGTGTACCTAATTTACGAAGAACATGTTCTTTAACGGGTTCAGTATCTTTTGTTGTAGGCAACAATAATTCTACTTTCATTTAAATCTTCTTTTTTCGTGCAAGTGGTATTTTAGAATTTCTAGGAAGCTGATTTTAACCAATTTATATAGCATCCAAAATAACGAAGGTAACAACGGCGATCATTTTATTCAAAATCTACAAGAAATGTTCTGAAGGATGGATCAGTAGCCAAGATGAATAAACATCCCTTGAAAGGAAATTAATTATTGGCCTTTACCTTCTTTATTTCTGGGATGAGACAAACATTTCCTTTATGTTCAGTACATGCACTGGAAATTCTCCAGCAGATTAAAATGAGCCATTATAATCACCATTTTAAAAGTCGTGATCCAAGTCTAGAAATGAGACATCATTGTGAGGCTTAGTTGGTCCCATATTGAAAATTTGTTTCACAGTGGAAATTTAAAAATCTTAATTAGAATATTTTCCTGGACATTTAGCAAGTATACCTCATGTGTAGAGGTGTTTAAGCTATTTTTCTTTACGAATTTTATTTTCAGTGTGTCTCATGAGCAGGACTGAATGCTTATTAAATGAAATTTATATAATTAAAATGTGCTTCATATTCAAAATCATGTTTCTCTTCACTGTTTAGAAGTAAGTTTCACAAATAATATACTAAATAAAAAACACCCTTCCTGATTGCAAAATTCATATCACTTAAGTTTCAACTGTGCTTGAATTGGCCTTATCGAGAGAACGTCATGATATGTAGGTGGCTTTTAATGCCTTAGGGCTTCTTTTATAAGATATATCATTTTCTGTAAAGGCATTGTATTCTATTTTCATTCACTCATCTTCAATTTTTGCTTTTGCATGCGCAATCATCTAGAAGCGTTCAAATCGATGAAGTTTTGAAGGGCTAGTTGATTTCAATGAATACTTTATGCCACAGCATTCCATGAGAGAGTTTATTTTTATAAAAGAATTATTTGATTCATGAATGAAAGTATATATAAAAATAAGTGACTGCATGCTGCTAAATTGATAGTTTTGAATGTCAAAATAGTAGCAGTAGAAAACAAGAGGTATACGTACAGTTGTGTGTCTTCTTGTATCTTGTTTATTTTGTCGTCATCATTCAATAATCTAGAAGTTATCCTACCACTGTAAAAGAAAAACCTCTTTCGTTCTTAGAAAAAAAATAATGTATATTGTTTCTGACATACCTTGATTCATAAATGATTTTAAAATCGTGTTTATAATCAACAGGAATGGATCACTTCTACAGTTTTGATGTTACATATAATACTTTAAAAAGTTTGGTAACCTTAAAATTGAAAACATAACAAACAATAACTACATGTATATTTATAAGGGGCGTGGGGTATTCTGCTTCTGGGGGAAATTCTTGCTTTAGATAATACAATAAAAATAAGATAATGTACCCATCAAGCCAGAGTAGCAAAGAAAAAAATTTCGTATTTGAAATCAAATACACGGATACGATTAAAACACAATCAAAAGGTTACCAAAAATTATAAATTGATTAATTATTTTTTCGTAAACCTATAAAATTTCTTGCTGTTCTTTCAGATGATTCCAATAAGGAAAATCTTCTTACATCTGCATTAAGAAGCTTGTCAGAAAACAGACTTAATTCAAGAGAGGAAACTTTAGCGCGATCTCCAGTTAACATCAATGGGGATTTCCAGGAAAATACCGAAAATTTTGATCCCGATCAACTTCAAACACAGCAAAATTTGGACGAAAATTGTTCAGATTCTATCCACTCCCCTTTAGAAGAACATGGGGACGAATATAATGAACCTGAAAATCGAATTCCGATTGAAAACAATATGGAAAATCAAAGAATTAAAAAATATTCTGAATTTCTAGGAAAAAGATTTTCTGAATTCTTGGGGAAACGCGGACTACTAAAGAGGTATTCAGAATTTATTGGCAAACGACTACATCATGGCAAACGTTTTTCAGAATTCCTCGGCAAGCGTAGTCGTGATAAAAATAATTCTGAATATCTCGGGAAAGGAGATCATATTACAAAACGATATTGGGAATTTCTTGGAAAAAGACATTCCAAAGGTAAACGCTATAGCGATTTCCTAATGGGAAAACGGTACAGCGATTTTCTGATGGGGAAAAGACATCACTTATATAACAAAAGGCAAGGGGAGTGGTTGGGAAAATGAACACAAAAATTTGTTTTATCATTTCTTAATGTTATATCTATAAAACATATCAAGAATATTGTAATTGTTCTCAATGTTATACAAAGACTTGAATTCCTTGAAATTTATCTGTATATTAATCATATGGAGTTGCTCAATAAAATAAATTTGTAAATATTGTTCTGTTTATTTCTGTGTTGTAAGAGGAAATTTATTAATCTATTAATTGTGATCATAATAATACAAGGAAATATCAAAATGAAAGAAATCATTAGAAGTATATTTAGTACTTTGTTAAAACAAATTTGAGATCACAGAAAACAAAGAAATAATTTGTGTTGCAATGACCAAAACTTCAAAATTGTCTTTTCTTTTGTCACAAACAAGTATTTTATAGCAATTTTAGCAATGATTTCTATACCAGATTGAAAAGAGGACAGATATGAAATTTCCTGTATCACTTGATAATAAACTTTTTATATTAAAACAATAAGCTCACCTGAGATTTTCTGATCACATATTGTCTGTTGTCCGTCTGTCTGCATTTTTCTCACACTTTTATTTTTTTTTTTAAGAACCAGTGATCCAATTTTTATAAAACTTACCAAAAGGCATTTCTGATTAAAGGGGGCTCGTAAAGAATTTTTTTTTCAAATGCAAAGCTTTACGTTTTCTAAATCGGAATAATGAAGAAATAAGGAAACCTAATCGCATATTTCAAACCTTTTTTTTCAATAACTCCTCTTAGAAAGTTTGAGTGTACGTGAAAGCTTCATGAAATAATTTAATTCAATTTTTTTCTTCAAATCAAGAATCAATCAATGATCCTTAAGGGTAGAGTTCACTATAGGTGATCAAAATTTTACAAAGGAGTAAAATAAGTTAGTAATGTATTTATTCATAGTGACATTTGTACATGAATTTATGCTGTTTACAAGCTACAAAGGAACGTTTGTCTACGGAATTTTGGGACAGCTCTCGTAGATATATAGACAACGTTTTGTCAATAAAATTAATATTTCCATTCTTATGTCGATACGATTAATCCCGGTGAGCTTGAGATTAGAGATACCATAGAGTCTGAGGTATCTGATTCATATTTAGATATTTTATTTTTTACTTGGAAAAGACGTAAAGAGTTGCATAGCTGTCAAGCTTTGTGGTAAAAATTATGACTTGAACTTTTCAATCGTCAATTTCCCTTATTTACACCAGCAATATACAGTAAAATTTGTCTAATCCGGACTCTGAGTACTCCGGACTTTTGTCAATTCCGTCCGTAAATTTTAGTCCCATGCACTTCTTTAGCAAATTCATTAAAAAAAATTCTGTGTAGTCCGGATACTGTTTATTCTGTATTCCGAACGGCTATACTGGTCCCAACTGATCATAATTAACGGTAATTATTCCCTCTAATCCGGCCACACCTGGGTTACTTCAAAGCAATTAACACCTTTCGTGGGGAATGTGATAATCTGTGTTTACATAATTAGCATGAGACAAACTCGGTGAAATGCGGCGGTGACACAGTCCACTTGAAAAATATTATATGATTAAATTACAATTAAAAAAAAATTAACTTTGCTTTAACTCCTTTTACCACATTATAACATTAACACAAAAATATATGTACGCGCGATTTACAAATCAAAATATAAATCGGGATCGAAAATCGAACGCATTTCAAAATGGCGCTATAACACTGTTGAGGAAGACGTAATTTTTTGTACATAAAATTAAAAGTTCAATCTAATAAATAGCACATCGTAAATAATTGTGCATTACTGTTAATACATTGAATGACCTCTTTGACAAGTGAAACCCGGTACGCTTGATACATAGTAGGCCTATATTATGCATGCCTGTATATTTTGATTGAGGTAATATTTCACCCGTCCCGACTGTCAAACTTCGTGAACAAATAAGAAAATACAGTAAGTCATGTGAGAATCTTATAATTTCTACACTTCAGAATAGTAATTGATTTCATCATTTAATTCTATTAATAATATGTTTATGATGTACTTGTAAATAAACAACGAAAATTTTCGAAATTTATATTTTACTGCATTTTTCCTGCACTCCGGATTCTGTCTAATCCGGCCAAATTTTATGGAACCGTCGATAGCCGGATTGGACAAATTATACTGTAACTTCATCACATTTATATGGGGGTTATATCCCTAAGTTGATTCGATATGGAAGAGCATGCACTACCTAAGAACAATTTCTAAAACATGGTGCATTATTGACAAACAAGTTGATGAAACAAGAATATCAGCAGTCTCGTTTAATGTCATCATTTCGTTAGTTATATGGTCGATACAATGACCTTGTTAGCAATTACAATTTATCATTGAGTGAAATTCTGACTGCCGTTTTTCATACAAATTGTTTATCCGTTATTTACACACTGAATTGTCGACGGGTTTTCCGTAATTTCCCGATCATGACAAGGAGCACATGGCAGGCGTGACCTGTTGGCAGGGGATGCTCTCTCCTCAATGGCACCTGATCCTACCTCTGATGTTTTTGAGGTCCTTGTATGCTCTGCTCCAATTTGTATTGTTTTATGGACTTTTGAGCTTGAATACTGTTCGTTATGTCTCCAGATATTTGTCGCCCGCGTGGCGCAGTAGTTAGAGCGTCTGCTATATAGAGCTGTGAAGTAAAGAGTTGATTTTTTACGTTGCGGGTTCGAATACCATGGTGGGATGTGGAGACCGGTCCATATGATGAGACAGTATAAACCAGGTACTGGTACGAAAAAGATCCTTCACTGCTCAATGGTCCTGCAGCGCCGAGGAAAGGACAAAAAATTGTAATTCTCCGCAGGCAAGTTGTGGCGTCTCCATATGAAGGGAAAATCTCGAGAGGGACGTTAAACAAAATACAATCAATCAATCTTCAGATATTTCATTTATCTGCAATTCTTAGGAAAATATCACTATTTACCATAGTGAATTTACTCGTATAGTTAACTACGTTAACGATTGTACTTTTTTGTTATAATTAGGGCTTTACCCTGGGGTCAGGGTTCAACCCTATGTTTCTGTAATCTTTTTTTATTTTTATTGGTCAGGTTTGTATCTTGAAAACATTTTAAATATTTGTAAATCGTCGTTTTACTTTCGTGAATCTTGCAAAATAAGCATCGTCATGATCGGGATATAACATAAAAATCTGTCGACAATTAAGTGTTTAGATAGTGGCCTAGAAGTTAGTATAAAAATGTTAGTCAGCAAATTAACTCAAGGGTAAATTGAATATGCTGACAAGGTCACTTTCTCGACCATAGAACTTACGAAATTATTTCGACTTGAAATGAGACTGCTTATATTCTTGTTTCATCAACTTATTTGACAAAAGTTTACCTCTCTTTAGAAATCGTTCATACGTAGAGCACGCTCTTGCGTATCGAATCAAATGAGAGTTATAAACCCAGGTGATATTGGACATATACTGGGTCATGAGGGAATCCACCAGAGCTAAGGATAATGGCATCAGATGGAGAATGGAAAACAAACTGGATGCCCTGGATTATGCTGACGACCTATGCCTCATCTCATCTACCTATCAGCAAATCCGGGAGAAAACAACTCCATACAACATCTAAACGTTTAGGCTTGAACATCAACTTAAAGAAGACCAAAATGAAGAGAATCAATGCACTTAATAACAATCCCTTACAAGAACATTTGGAAGATGTAGACACCACATACCTCGGCAGAATTGTAACGACATCAGGAGGTACTGAAGAGGAAATAACTTCAGGAATCAATAAAGCCCGTCATGTGTTTGCCATCTCAAAACCAGTCTAGACCTCCTCTTATATGACCATTAGGCCAAAGCTCAGGATCTTCAATAGTAATGTAAAATCAGTATTACTATATGGATCAGAATGCTGGAAGCTAGCGAAAGACCTCGCAAGCTTTAGAAAACTGAGTGTTTGTGAATCGATGTCTACGAACCATATTTAAGATCAGAATGCCAATAATAATGTCCAACAAAGACATCAGAGAGATGTCAGTACAAGAAGACGTGGTAAAAATTGTACAAAGAAAGTGGAGATTGGTCGGCCATGTGCTCAGAAAAGACCAGCACAACATCACCAAGGAGGGCATATTTTGGACGGCTGATGGCAAGACAAAATGGGACAGGCCAAAAACAGCATGGCGAAGCACATCAGAAAAAGAGTTGAAAGAGATAGGGGTGACATGGAGAGAAACAGAAACAAAAGCAAAAGATAGGACTGGATGGAAGGACTGTGTGACTGCCTTATGTGCCTTATGTGCCACCTAAGTAAGTAATGAAGTAAACTCAGTTGATTAAGGTACATTGCTGCATCAGTCATGGAAGTTGTTATTGAAACCTTAATGTCATCACGTTAAGAGTCGCGAAGCAAGGAGTTGATCCTTATGTCGCGGGTTCGAATATCACTGTTGGACGTGGAGACCGGTCCTTCGGATGAGACCGTATAAACCGAGGTACTGTGCCGCAGTAGGTACTGGCACGAAAAAGATCCCTCATTGCTCAATGTCCCTGAGTGCCGAGTACAGGTCAAAATTTTTAGTTCTCCACCGGCAAGTGGTCGTGTCTCCATATGAATAAAAAATTGTCGAGAGGGACGTTAAATAACATACAATCAATTTATCATCACGTTTATCATAAAGCTTGGTTGTTAGATTACCATTAACATCTTTTAAAATATCCAAATATGAAACTGGTGTGAATACTCTGTGAAATCTTTTATTTCAAGCTCACCGGGATATATCGTATCAACATAAGGATGGAAATAACCAATGTTAATTCACAATACGTCGTCGATATATCTAAATGTCGAGTTGAAGGTCACCGCAGTTGTTTTGTTTTTCTTTTTACGTATAAATTTTGATTAATTATGCTTCATGTCAATGTGTTAATAACGGGGGGCAATGGAATTCCAATACTTGTATATTGATGGAAGACGTAGATGTATTTTATATAGGGATGTCAACGAATATTCGAATATTCGAATATTCATTCGATGAGTTGATATTCGAATATAAATTCATGATTCGAATATTCGTTTTTAAATATACAAGTATTAAAAAGAGAGAAAAATTTGGCAAGTTTTATTAGAAATTGAATCAGGTTTGTGCAAAATAAAAAAAACACTCCTCTTGGATTACCTTGAAG